TTGGCTGAGGAATTCTGGGAGTTGAAGTCCGCAAGTCTTAAAGTGGCCAAGTTTGGAGACCCCTGCCCTAAAGTTTCTGCCAACTGTGTACTTTTCAAATAAGGAAGGGGATCGAGAGAGCTGAGTAACAGGGGGAGGAGGATGGGAAGCTGGCAAAGCCGGCCTCCCCTTCCATTCCTTCTTCTTCCAACCAGCATCCACGCCTCTCCCCAACGGCTCACCAGTTTGGCTCTTGGCCGGCCAGGAAGCTTCCTCGGAGCCAAATCCTTCCACTCACAACAGGGGGGTGGGGTGGGGGATGAGGAAGGGAACCTCTGCTGGGAGTTCAGGAGTCCTCTGGCCCCCTTGGTTCAAGCTGCCAGGCCAGAATTTGCTGCAGTGCCCCTGCCTGCCTGCCTGCTCGGTCGGTCAAGTGCCCAGGGTCCCAATCAGGAGCTTTGCTTTCCGCAGCCGCCACCTGTCCATGCTTTGGAGCAGGCACTTCTTTCTGCGGGACACCAGCAAAAACTCCTCCCCTTCTCCCCCCCCCCCCCCGAAGATCCAGCCCCCTCCCAACTTCTTTGGCAAATCCCAGGGGAGGGCAGAAGCGGATGAGGGGCCACCTGCTAAAATAAAGCCAGGTCATGGCACCCACTTCAAAGTAAACCAGGAAGCCTGTAATTGTGGAGTCTGCCTGGCAAGAACAAAGAATGCTTATCCACAGGAGGATACGCGTGTGTAAATCCTGGCTAATTGGAAAGCTGATAAAAGTAACACAAGTTAGCCAACTTGCAGACCTCAGCTAACAGGCCTGCAGCAAATCAAATGTGCATTAGATCATTCCTAGGGCATTGTTAGCCAAGACTTGGGAATAGGGACAAGCTAGAGACCAATAGAACAAATTATAGAATTATTATTGAAATGTTGATTAGATGATATTTCTTATTATCTCGCTTTGTCTCACCTTCTCCTTTAGTGAAAATGTACAAAACTTACTCAATCCTTTGTTCTTGGCATTTTGACCAGGAGCCCCTTTTCCTTGGAGGACTCCAGTAAAAAGCAATCAGAAAACCTGCACCTCGTGTCTGGCGTCCATCCTTGGCTTTGGCACCAGGCTCAGACCCGATTTGGGGACCACCCGGGCTGGGCTGCGAGCGGCTGGGTCGGGGAGACCAGCATTGCTTGGGGCCGCTGGGCAGGGCTGCTCCGGCTGCTGGGACCGCTGCAAAGCGGCCTCGGGGCGACCAGCGGGCAGCAGGTGCCCCGAGGGGCCCCGGGATCCAAGGCGAGCGGGAGGCCTCTCCAACCGGGGGGCCCAGGGAGCCCACCGGCTCTGGCGGGCCGCTGCAGCCTCCGCCGGGAAGGACAGATCAGGCGAGGCTCCCACGCCCGGCCCGCCCGCCCTCCGCTTTTCGGCCGCTCCGACGGGAGGGGCGGCAGCAGCAGCTGCAGCAGCACCGCGGCGGCCTCCCCGGGCCGAGCCCGACTTCCAGCCGCCGAGGGGGCCGGGGGGCTTCCGAGCGGGGCCTTCGGGCCACCTGCCGCTCCGGCCCAGGGAGGCTCCTCGGGCCGAGCGACGCGCAGGGGGCGGAGGCTGCGCGGCTCCCCTGCCGGACGCCTCTCCCTCCGCTCCCAAAGCCCCGGCCGGCGGACCCCAACGCGCCGCCCCCCCCACCCCCCCCCCCACGCCGGGGCGGCCCGTCACTCACGCCCGCGTCTCCTGGTCCAGCAGGCCGGTCACCGGGATGCCGTAGAAGGCCTGCATCTCGGCCAGGGCGGCCGCCAGGCTCCGCGCGGCGCGCAGGGTGGAGGGCTGCCGGGGGGCGGCGGGCAGGTAGCCGTAGGAGCGCAGCCAGGCCTGCAAGGCAGCGAGAGTTGCGCCGGGGCCGCCCAGGACAGCGGCAGGTGCGGCGGGCACGGAAGCCCCTCGGACCGCCGCCCCCGCCCGCCCCGCACCCACCTCGGCCTCCTCCGCCTCGCGCAGCGCCGGCTCCGCCTCGCCCCGCGGCACCAGCAGCAGCAGCAGCGGCAGCAGCAGGAGCGGCAGCCACCGGGCCCCGCCGCCCATGCTGGTGCTGCCTCGGCCGCTCCCTCGCTCGCTCGCTCGCTCTCCCGCTGGCTGGCGCGGCCGTCCCCGCCGCGGCCTTCTGGGCTGGCGCGGGGCTCGGTCCGGCAGCCGCCCCGCTGCCCGCCCCCTGAGCCGCAGCCGCCAAGCGCCGCCCGCTGCGCCCCTGGCCCGGCTGGGCTGGGCTGGGCTTCCGGCGGGCGCGGACGGGGCTGCCGCCTAACGGCCAGCCGGGGCGCGGCGGGTTGGAGGAGCCCGGAGGCCCCTTTCCCGCGGCTTCCCCTCGCGGCGCGGCCCGCATTGGTCGCGGTCCGCCGGTGAAGCGGCCGGCGGGGCTCTTGCGGGCGGCGGCCGCCGCTGGGAGGGACCCTTTTGCCCCGCCAGAGCCGCCGGTCGCGGGAGTTGCTCAAACTGCAAACTTGCATGGGCCCCGGAGGTGGATTTCCCAGGCCCGACACGGGAGAAGATGCCCTCGGAGGGGTTCCAGGAGAGGCCTCCAAACTCCAGCCAGCCATTGGGAGCCTGTTCTGGGCCCTTCAGGATCCCTGCCAAAACAAAACTTCCCACCACAGTGGAGCCCCACAAGAGCCAACCTGCACCCAGTATTTGGCCTGATCCCAGTGTCCCAAGTTTGCTCCTCGACTTGGAAAAGCCACCAGGATTTGACCCGCCTGTGCGATGTGGACACCACAGTTGCCCCGGCCACGGATGATGGGCAGATGCCCTGGGTGAGTGAGGCAAGATACCACCAACCGAATTGTGACTGAGGGGCTGAAAAACAAACTATGCACCGTGTAAGTCACAGAGTTCCAAAATAATGGAGATAAATGAAGCAAAAATTGTATCTGTAATCAAGACATAAAAATGTGATGTGAATGTTCCATATAATAAGACAGACGGGCAAAAACAGACAGACAATCTGGTCTTTATTCATTAGTTACAAGAGAAATAATGTATCAGGCATTGGAAAAATTCTGGCTTAACATTCATATTTTGCTTAGTACCCTTTTGATGACAAAATATATTACTTATTTCAATTTATTACAGCTGTCCACCCCAGTCTATAGGCAGCTTACAAAACACAAAACAATAAAGTCAAAAACGTAACACTCCCCAGGCAGCCCAGCCTAAAACAATCAAATATAAACCCAACAGGGTCCCACCAACACAACAGCTCTTGGGGGGCATCTGGGAACCCCAGGGGAGGGTGGTCCCAGGGGATGGATTGAGCAGAAGAGCCACACTTCCTCAGTCCCATAAGATGCCATTTAATAGAAGGGATCCAAAGCCCAACGAGAGGACACTGGCAATAATTCCCGTATCCCCAAAGGGCAAGGGGTGCTGTTGGGGGATCACAGGAGCTGAAGGTGGCACTACTGCAGGGATCCCCATTAAGGAGGGTCAAAAGAAACTGACAAAGCCAAAAACTTGCAACATTTCAGGTCCGTAATCTGCCCCCACCAAATTTCTCAGCCAGTGTTTCGGTTTATTGCATTCAGAAGTTTCTTTCTCGGATCATGAGAATGTGAGAGGCAAATCTCAGAATTACCAAGATCATGCTCTTCAAGGGAACGACGTTAGTCTTCTTCCACAGCCCTGCCCGGTTCCTCTCCAGAAGGCAGGGAAATAAGCATGGATCCCACTGAGTTTACCTTTCCCAGTTCCTGTGAGTTGGGCATATCTGGATGCCGTTCGAAATGTGGGGGGGGCCTTTAGTTTGGATTTTGGCCCAGAGGAATTCAGTATCTTGTCAGTGTGTGCATGGGAGAACTCCTCTGGCTCCAATGCTCCAATATACGTTTCTTACTTTCTCCTTGCTTATGATTCTCCTGCCACAATTCCAACAAAGCAATCAGAGCAGGCTCAGAGCAGTCACTTATCCAGGAAGCTTTGACGAACCCTTTCAGCAAAGCGTCTGAAACTGACCATGAAGAGAATTGGCTCTCCTTTTTTAAATTTCTCTCTCAGAAGGACCAGACACCCTGCCCAAGGCATCCCACCGGGGGGGGCCTCTCGCCCCTAGATCAGCCGTCTACAAGACAAAGTCCTGCAGCTTGGAGAAACATCCCACTGGCTCCCAGCAGCCGAGAACTGGAGTGGAGCGAAGGAGGAGCTGGCCTGGCAGAGGCTCTGAGGGCATGAATGGCCTTGGCCCTGAAATGTGCTGTTACAGGGTGGCCTCTGCTGCCGCGACAGGGAGCTGAGCTCCCAGTGGACTTCATGGGAATCCAGTGGCACCTCTGACCATCTCTGGATGGTTCCTATCACAAGTCGGCAGCGGTTGTTCCCGGGCGTCTCTATCGCAGGGGGAACGAGAAGACCTTATTGCCAGATTTGCAACGGACTTCAGTCCCAGGAATTCGCAGCAAGTGGATGGAGTCCTCAAAGCCATCTACAATCTCCTGCAACGAGAAGGAGGCAAAATAAGAACAGCCTGGCAGAATTCATCAGCACCAACTTCCTCCTCCAGCTTGGCTCAGTTCTTCAGTTATCCACTGGTCCCCAACCTCATTCCAAGTTGCTTAAAGCCTACCAGGCTGGACCCCTGGAAATGCCAGGAGCCCCCTTCCCCACGTGCCTTCATCCCAGTTGCCTACTCAGTCTTCCACTGCTAAAACAATCCTAAGGGCTCTTGGAAATGCCCTCTGGAGAGGAAAGGCTGCGTGGCCCGGACATATCTGCGAGTTGAAAAGGTGCGTCAAGAAATGCAGAGATAGTTCAAGCCAATCAGTCAGCGCATGCCTCAGGCTACCTCTGGTCACCATCTTCCGCTGTATCCCTCACAGCCAGCTGGGCTTTTACACTCACTCCAGGCTTCACCGAAGAAACCAGATCTTCCAATCTGACTGGTAGAGATCTGGGACTAACATGGATCCCCCTTGAACAACCTGTCTGAAGTCTGAACCAAGTCCAGTTCAATACTGGGACACAGAATGATACAGGCACTGAGACCCAACTGTCTCCTGTAGCCCTCTGCTAATGTCAGGCACACAACCAGGACTGCAAATGTAGGGTTCATGCTGACATTGTGATTCTGCCTATAATACAAGAACCTCCCTAAATAGCTTGCTCCCTTCTCTTGGGAACAAACAGATAAGGTCCCAAGGAACTGGGGTGGGTGGGTGGGGGGGGGGGGAGTGTCAGCCCTAGTCCACTTGAGGCTGTGCAATCACTCAAGGCTAATCCCCCGCTTGACTCCCCCCTCCTCACCTGGCAGTGAGTTCCCCCAAAGCTAAAGGCTTCCAGGCTGGTTACCTGCATTTCCTGAATACACTGGCCTCCAAGGGCTTCCGACATATTCCCCACACACCAGGCGAGGCTCATGTGGAACGAGGGATCCTACGAACAACCAACCACCAGTGGTCAAGATCAGAGGAAGGTCCACCAGCATAGCCAAGCACAGCAGGCATAGCGCGCCAGCTGCCAACATTTCAATTACAGCAAACGGGAGCCATTTGGTAACTGAATGCTAACTACCCTAGGCACAGTGGAGGGAGCAAGCAGACCAAAGCTGCTGGAAGTGCATTTAAACAGCTGCTTAACTGATTATTCAACAGTTACCGTTCAGCTTCCTCCAGAGACTCATTCTAAAGCAGCAACTTCCTATTTTTCCCGAGGTGGCTGCAGTCCTCACCTTGTAAAAAGGCATTAGGTTAAATTCTTCCATAACTTCATCCACTTCTGAAACCAACTCCAACATTTGAGAATGTCCTGAAGAGACTTCTAAGCCAACGAAGGTCCTTCAAGAAGATTTTGAGAGAGTAACTTGCAGCAGCTCTTCCACGGTCAACATCTTGCATGGATTCAGTCCCCAAACGCAAGAGAAGAGCGCGTGGCACCCAGAGAAAACAGAAAGATGTGCATGGCTTTCAGGTGAGGCCAAGCTGGCGGCACAAAAGTTTTTAAAGCTCAGGGGGAAAAGAAGAGGCAGCATAAAAGCAAAGGGCCACTTTCTGCCGGGCCTTGTTAGGATGAATGTCCTCCCCACCACCGCCATTTGTTGAAAGCGGGGGGACATTCATGCAGAACATCTCCGAGGGAGCTCCTTTCTCCCTGCCAGACCCGGCAGCCCTTGTGCCACGGAAGCCAATGCCCATCCTCTTCAGGACAGAAGCACGGCCATTCAGATACGCCCAATTTGGAATCCCAACAGGAGCAGAGAAAACCTCTGAGAAGAGTCTGTCCCGGAGTTAGAAAAGCTACGTGAGACCACACTGGCCCTCTCTCTCTCTCTCTCTCTCACACACACACCCCCAGTCTGGTCTTCCTCCTTTTCCCCTCCAGAAATATTTTGCTGATGCAACTGAAGCGATTCTTCCTTTTAGTTGCCAGAAGAAAGGGAGCGGGGGAAAGCAGTGCATCCCTTAGAGGCTTCAGATAATCACTTTGGCAACGGAAGTTTCTGGCATGCAGAGAGCCTGACTGATGACTCTTGGCTAGGGGTGTGTCTCATTGGAGAATCTACCTCCAGGGGGTGGGAGGAAGGCCAGGGTCGAGGGGGAAATGAATGAGGTGTCTCAGAGTCAGCTACACCCAAGAAACGCCGACATGTCAACCCTCCTAATATGTGAATCTTTTTCACTCTGACTTGTGATTTGGACGGGGCTGCCTGTCGGAGTCCTGACACTTCCCACACTAATGGCCAGTTCGTTTCATTTCTACCCCACAAGACTCTACAGATCTCTCCGAGGGGGAAGATCAACCTTCCTTCACCCACCTGGTTTTGGTCTCATTGGTATAAACCTTCACTCGGTCAGCTCTGAAGATGAACCTGAAAAACAGCAGAGATCCCAACTAATCTGGAAACGAGAGGCAGAGACAAGAGGGACCCGAGAGGACTGCAGGCCAGGGCTGCCTCTCTGCTCCTCCGGGACCCCCGATGACCCTTCCCAGCTTCAGGCCCAACTCAGTCATGCCAATTCAATCACTGAGGGGCCACTTTCCCCTCGTTCGTTGCATGCTGAGATTTGGGGACGCTCACCTAACTGATTTACGTCTTCAGTTTCTATGGATGCCCATCTCAATGACCCCGGGCGGCTTACAATTCCGAAAATATATTACAGTTAAAAATAAATAAATAAAAAACATTTTAAAAACAGAAACAGTAAACCAGTGAAAAACACTAAAAATATTGCATTCAGCATGCACAAGAGCAACATAGTTGGCCGATTAGCAACACGGGCAGGCAACGGGGCCCTTGGCTCGTGAAAGAGGCAGGTTCTGAGGGTTGGGACCACTCTGATCTCCAAAGATCACCGTTAATGAAGAGAGTGGAAGTCTGCAAATCACCAGCCTCTGGCATCGTGTTTATTTGCAGCAGTACGTTGGGTCCCACAGAGCTTCTCTGGACGGCCGACAGCATTTGGGCAGCCAGTCTCCTACGTGGTAAATGGCAATCAGTCCTGCCAGCCATATCCCACCCCGCATGGCAGGCCATCCTGCAAGGACCCCAGCTGCCACTGCCCTGGGCGGGAAGTAGAGTCAGGGACTCCTGAGGAACAGGAGCTCTTCAGGCGTCATGAACTGCAAGGCATGTTTGTCAGCTGGGCGAGGAGGGGCCGGAGCTCTGCCGCAGTGAGCGGCTTCTGCAATTTTCTTGCCTTCTTGTCACATCTGGTGAAAATGAGCAGCATGGCTTTCTGCTGCTTTCTTGGGGCATGAAACACAGAAAACTCCTTGTAGATATATATAATTAAAAACAAACAAGAACCTTCCCCTCAGAACCTTCTGGCCCAACAGACAGATTGCACACTTTTGCAACATCACTGTTTTGCTCTGTTGTGACTGTAAAACAGAGGCTCTCTGTCTCAGCAAGACTAAGATTTGCAGCCACTTGCAGCTGGGAGTTAAAGTCCACGCAGCTTAAACCTTGCCAAATTTGAGAAAGACTGCAGAAGGGAAATGCCACTGCTTGCAGCCACTAAGGCGTCCCTTCCTGCAGGTTTTTAGGTATGCTCAATCCTCCCCCACAGGCATTTAGCAATACTGATGGGCTCCTGTTTGTGCCTTGCCCACCATATCGGCTGGCCTGCTCTTGTCAGAAGCCCAGCGAACCTCCGGCCAACCTCTCCAAAGCAGCTTGTAAGTCCTATCAGTCACTCCCTGCCAGTATGGCCTCTGGGCCTCACCTGTGGCAGGAAGCCAAGCGTCCTTTGAGGGATTGGACAAAAGAGTTGATCCAGTGATGGCGCAAGACCACACCTTGAGAGAGGCTGATGTGGAATTCTTCCTGTCCCTTCAGCTGAGGCACATAAGTGCGCCCACAGATTAGGAGGAGCTGCAGTAAATCCAGAAAGTCCTGCCCGGCTTTGTCTGTAGAAAAAGCAGAACCGGTGCTCTTAAACCCATTACCCCTTTTTTTTCCTGGGCTCAAATAATATTACCATTCCACCCCAACTCCCAACTCTTACTATTTTACACAAACATCTCAACAGCAAGATTCCCAAAGAGTTTGCAAACAAGCAATTACAGGATGTGGCCTAATAATACCCAGTTAAGAACCACTGCCTTAAATGTGCTTTGCCCTGGCCAAGGATGCCAGAAAGGCCCAAGAGGGTTGGGAGGACCCTCACAAGATGACCGCCATGGGGGGCCACGGCCAGCGTGACTGAGTTGCCCACTTACCATGCAGTGGACTACTGCCAGACCTCCCAACCCACTCTTTGCCCGGTCCAGGAATCTTCAGGTCCCTCTCAGAGAAATGCCTGTCCAGCCCTATAACCTCAGGAGCTAGGCTACGCCACAACTTCATAGGTTTCACTGTCAGGAAATTCTTATTTTCAGTTTAGACCAAGGATCGCCAGCCTTTTCGATCTCAGGGACCACCAACATCATAATTTTAAATCCTGTGGACCACTAATATGAATTTTGACTGGCAGGTGGCTTGCTGACATTGGTGGGAAAGTCAGTCCCCTATTCCAGAGCTGCCGGAGTCACAGGACTGGCCCTTTGGTCATCCTGGAGCAGCTGCTTCTCTGCCTGGGTGCACTGACCTGCCATGGACTGGAGGAGCAGCTGCTCCGGGGTGACCAAAGGGCCAGTCCTGTGACTCCGGCAGCTCTGGAATAGGGGACCGACTTTCCCACCAACGTCAGCAAGCCACCCCAGGACGATTTCCCTCCCCCGCCGTTGGTCTTGCCTTCCAGTTCCAGCTCACTGGCTCTACTCAAGGTAAGGTTTGCGCTCGGCCAAAGGGTGGGGGCCAGTGGGTGGGCGGGCCATGTGGGCAGTGCAGCCTTGTGTTCCTGCACAACCTGGATTAATTGCTTTGGGGGGGCACATTTCTCTGCGGACCACCAAAATTTTCTCACGGACCACCAGTGGTCCCACCGGTTGGCGACCACCGGTTTAAACCACCAGTTTTCAGTAAAGGTCCCACCACTGGTTCCAGTTCCGCCCTCAGGAGCTGTGCAAAGTAAATCCTCCCGCCCCCTGTCCATGGAAGATTGATAGGGGTCTTCCCTTCTTCAGGCTCAACAGCCCCATCCCTTCAGTTGCTCTCTGTGGGAACTCACCTGCGAGCCCCTCACCGTGTGTGTGTGTGTGTGTGTGTGTGTGTGTGTGTGTGTGTGTGTGTGTTCTCTGCATCCTTTCTGCCTTGGGGTACTCAGAATCACAAAGGACAGTTGCACCGGCCCTACCCTGCTCCCACCAGAGACCACCCACAAACGCAATCAATGCGGTTTCTGTCCCATCACTAAGCCTACTTCAGAGACCCTCTGCTGCCAAGCAGCCGCTTTCTCTAACGGCTTCCCTAAAAAGGGAAGGTGGGAAATGGGATGAAAGTACCCAGGCCAGTGGGATCAAGCAATGCCTTTTTGAGGAAGGGGCTAACCGGGGCCTCCTTAAAAGGCTCTCTTGCAGTGAGGAATTGGTCAGGGCCTGAACCCACCAATCACCACCTTGGAGGCTTTAACCAATCAGCAGGGACAAGGGACTAATTGACAGGTGGTTACATTGTCCACGCAGAGGACTCTCGTCACTTCTTTGGGTCAAACGGGATCAAACTGTCCCCAGATGAGTCAGCAAGCCCTTTCACCAGGCGACCCACATGGACCTGCACCACGCTCCAACTGGGAACCAATCTTTGTGTATTGGGTGTTCAACTAGTTCCTCTGTGCACACTCACACACACACACACACACACACACACACACACACACACACATGCACGGTATCCCCTAGTGACCTCTGGAACCCATTTGGGTCCATAGTTGCCAGGGGAAGACAACTCCTGTTGACGGGTGGCATAAGAGAATCTCACGGACACCAGGATGTGGTCTGACTATTACTGGGGGGGTTGTATTTAAATTCCACACCAGTTCCTTCAATTCTGCAATGCATTTCTCCAATCAACAAAGCACTTATTATGGAAAAGAATGCACCAAACTGAGCACATTAAAAAGAAAAACATGTTCTTTCTTTTCTTTTTTTCCCAGAAACCCAAAGTTCTTTCGTTGCATTCTTTAGAAAGGCCCGGAAACGTTCCCTCTCTGGGCAGGTCAGAAGCACGGGAAGCCACGCCCCAGGGTTCCACTCTGCTCAAGGCAGCTATAGAGACTCCCAGGGCCAGGCCAGGCCTTCACCCCTCTTCCCGAGAAGGAGAAAACACCGAGAGACACTTACATGGCATGTACACATGGGTTGCCCAGTTGCCTCGTTCATGGGGAAACGTCCGCAGGCGGCCTTCGTGTTTACCGCAGTCGTCCTCCACCCTTTCCTTCTCTTCCTGCTCCCTGAACATCCCCCGCACGCTGTCCGGCAAGGGCAGGGAGGGCATTGCAGCTCTGCAAAATGGGGGGAGAGAGTTGGCAGCCGAAGCATTTTCTGCTCAAAGACCTGAAGAGAAGCAGCCTTGGGAGACAGAGGCTGGACGGGGCCCTGTCCCTGACCAACAGCAACAGCTCCCCTTGTCCAGTGAGGGCAAGTGGAAAGGGCAGGGCTTCCCAGTTAGGACACAACAAAGAGGCATTCCAGGACTGTCAAGAGTGTATTTATGAACTGGAATAGAGCTTGGTAAAAAGGTCGGCCAATGAATAGGCGTAGCAAGTAAGTCAGCCAATGAGGGCTGTTTGGAAACTGAAACTGCAAGTTGCCTCAGCAGTGCTCTGCATTAAGTTCTGTAGCTCTGAAAGCTATGTTAAGCTGAGTCTCTCTATTGAAAATGAAACTAGCTTGCTTGCTTGCTGAACTAAAGTGAAACTGACGTCTGTTTCTGAGCTGCTGAAGTTACTACTGAAGTTACTTGCAACATGTTTCTGTCTGAGTTTACTGCATGTTGGAGAAATCTACAAGTGGTTTGGAAAATCTATTCATTACGTTTATAAAGATGTTAAATGAAGCATCAGCCACCTGTGTTTATTTTTCTGGCGTTGAATTAACGCGGCAAAACTCTGAATAAGGACTAAGGTAGTCTCCTCCCCACCGATCTCAACTTAAGGATTTAGGAAAACCAGGTCAGATATCTGGGCAGGGACTATGGCAGCTGGTCTAATGAGAAAGTTCTCAGCCTTCAGGAAAGAGCGCCTGGCCACCAAAGGGGACTCGACAGCTAGACGTGTTTCACTGGGCTAGAGAGCAGAACTGCCCTCTCCAGAACATACCACTCCGGGATAGCTTGGCTTCTTTGTAGTTTTACTTAGAGTATCTATGGAAGAGGAGTGGTGCTGTGGCCTGGAGGTGAAACTCTCACCTCACAATCAGGAAGCTGAGAGTTCAATCCTAGGTAGAGGCAGATATTTCTGTCTCTGGGCACAATGAGAATATATTGGCTGAACAAAACTCCTCATTGGTGACAGGAAGGGCATCCGGCCATGAAAACACTCTGCTAGCACCATTCAGTTGCCGAGACCCCACCCAGCAATAAGGTGACTTATTGTGTTTATGAAGTTTATGATACCAACCCAAGTTGGTTTGACTCAACCTGCCAGTCAGAAGGAAACTATGGTTTGTGAGTTTCCGCACCAGGACGAAGAATAATCTGCCCCCAGAAGTCGGAGGCTGCTTCTTGGCTGGTGTTGAAGGAGGACCTGGTTGGAGCCTGGGAAATCTTGGTGCTTCCCCGCCCCCCCCCCCCCCCCCCCCACACACTGCGGAGTGTTGTGGCCCTTCAGAGCCTCCAGGGCAGGGGAGGTCTCCAAACTTGGCCCCTTTAAGACTGATGGACTTCAACTCCTGCTGGCTGGGGAATTCTGGGAGTTGAAGTCCACCAGTCTTAAAGGGGCCAAGTCTGAGGGCCCCTACTCCAGGCATTATTAGAGCGGCCCAGCCCGAGCAAGAGAGCAGAGCCGCCAAGAGAGGCCCCGGGGAAGGCTGGAGCGGCCTCCGGGGCGGGGCCTCGTGCTCCGTGACCGCCTGGGAGGCCGGCCGGCCCTGGGCCTCCTCTCCGGGGAAAGAGCCACCGGCCCCGGAGGGAGGGAGGGCCCCGTCCCGGGCGTCTGGTTCCTCGGAGGCGGCCCAGGGCCTCCCCTCAAGCTCACCTGCTGCCCGGAGGGGAGAAGCCGCGCCCGCCCGCCGGGCCAGGCCGAGCCTCCCCGCTGCTCCTCTCCCGGGCGGCGGCGGCGGCGGCGGCTTCGCTCTCGCCCTCCGAGCCGGAGCTGCTGTAGTCCACCAGCGCCGCCCGCATGGCCGGAAGCAGGAAACCGGAGCGTCACGCCTGCGCAGAAATGACACACCTCCCCCCCCCCCCACTGGTGAGGACTTGCGGCTTATAGAGGCGCCTCCGCCGGCTCGCTTCCGGGTTCAGTTCCAAAGTTCCGGTGGTCCGCCGTAGAGCCAGTGAACTGAGCCGCTTCCCCTTCAGGCTTGGCCGCTCCGTCTCCTTCACCGACCGGAGGGAAGGAGAGAGGAGAGGCGAAGGGAATCGGAATCGGCCGGGCCTTTCTTTTCCCGCGGCCTCTTCCCTCCGGCGCCTGAGCTCGTCTCCCCGGGGGGGGGGTAGTTTCGATGGCCTCGAGGGTTCCCCACCTGCTTCCCGGAGATCCAGGGAAGACAGAGCAGCGTGTGGAGGCCGGCAGGTGGGACCAGGGAATCCCCCTGGCTGCCCGTTACCTCCCCAGGGGGCGCCTCTTAAAAATAGTAAGAGAAGACCTGTCTGATCTTGATGAAAACAAATCACCAAGGCCTGATGGATCACATCCCAGAGTTTTAAAGGAGCTGGCAGAGGTCATCTCAGAACCACTACACCATATCTTTCAAAAATCCTGGAGCACCGGGGAACTACCAGAGGACTGGAAAAGAGCTGATGGGGTCCCCATCTTCAAAAAAAGGGGAAAAAAACAGATCCAGGAAACTATAGACCAATCAGCCTAACATCAAACACCTAGAAACAAGTAAAGTAAGAACTAGCAGTCAGCACCCAACAGATCATGCCAAATCAATCTTATTTCTTCAACACAGTGACTAAATTAGTAGATCAGCAAAATCCTATGGACATAATATACTTAGATTTCACCAAGGCATTTGACAAAGTAGGCCACAACCTACTTTATGGTAAGCTAGAAAAACATGGGATAGCACCACCACTAGATGGATTCACAACTGGCTGACAAACTGAACTCAACGAGTAGTCTTTAATGGGTCTAAGTCTATGTGGAGGGAAGTAAGCAGTTGGGGTGCCACAAGGTTTTGTCTTAGGCCCAGGACTCTTCAATATCTTCATTAACGACTTAGATGAGAGAACAGAAGGGGAACTTACCAAATTTGCAGATGATACTAAACTGGCAGGAATACATAACCCCCAAGAAGATAGGCTCAAGATCCAGATGGATCTTGACAGACTTGAACCCTGGGCCCTATCTAACAAAATGAAATTCAATTTAGAGAAAAGTCCTACACTTAGGCAAGAAAAACCAAAAGAACACATATACACAGTGTGAAACCAGGTTTAATATCAGTAGCTGTGAGAGGGATCTTTGAGTCTTAGTGGACAACCAGGTAAATATGTGCAGCAGCAGCCAAAAAAGCCAATGCAATCCTAAATTGCATTAACAGAAGGATACAATCAAGATCAATTGAGGTACTAATATAAATAAAGCCTTAGTAAGACCACACTTAGAGTCCTGCATCCAGTTTTGATCACCACACTATAAAAAAAAGATGTTGACACTAGAAAAAGTCAGAGAAGAGCAACCAGGATGATTAGGAGACTAGAGGTTAAAACATACAATGAACGGTTGCAGGAACTGGGCTTGGCCAGTTCTTGAAAAGAAAGACCAGGGGAGACAGGATAGCAGTCTTCCAATATTTGAGGGGCTGCCACAGAGAGGAAGGAGTCACGCTATTCTCTAAAGCACCTGTAGGCCAGACAAGGAGTAATGGATGGAAACTGATCAAGGAGAAATTCAACCTGGAAATAAGGATAATTTTTCTGACAGTGACCAGTGGAACAGAAGTTGCCTTTGGAGGTTGTGGGAGCTTCATCACTGGAGGCTTTCAAGAAGAGATTGGACTGTCATTTGTCAGAAATGGTGTAGGGTCTCCTGCTTGGGCAGTGGGGTTGGACTAGATCAGTGGTCGCTGATGGGCCGCAGAGAAAACTCACCCCCAGAGCACCCACCCAAAACAATCCAGGCTGTGCAAAAACACAAGGCTGTGCTGCCCACATGGTCTGCAGGAACCCTCCCCGCCACTCACTCCTTACCCGGCAAACTTGCCTGCTAAATTGCTATTTTTCCTTTTTCCGACCATCATCTGTTCTGCTGGGCTGGGAGATTTAGATTAACTAGGAAGCAGGAAATGGTTGGATTTCTTGCTTTCTAGCTAGTCTTTTAGATCTTTGGCTCTGCTTTTAAGCACAGCCAACCTCCCTTAGGACTGAAGGTTCCATTATTCAGTGCAGACTCACAGCAAGCAAATTTGAGAGACTGAGCTAGCCAATGGCAGATAGATAGATTTCTGAATGAATCTGTGATTCTGTGAGCAACTCAATCTGCCTGTCTGCTTTGCCTGATTTTGGGTAAAAGTTGCTCTTTTTTAAATAATAAACTCAATATATAATTATTTATATTTGCAAACAAGCCATGCCCAGCCAGTCACATGACCACCAAGCCACCCCCACAAATTAGGCCACACCCACAGAACCGGTTAGTGGTCCCTGGGATTTAAAATTATGAGTTTGGTGGTCCCTGAGGTCCAAAAAGTTGGTGACCCCTGAACTAGATGACCTGCAAGGTCCCTCCCAACTCTTGTTTAATCTAATCTAATCTAATCTAATCTAATCTAATCTAATCTAATCTAATCTAATCTAATTTAAAAACATTCCACAGAGCCAAACACTCAGAAGCTGCGTATTTAAGAGCTTGAACTGCGAGTCTTCAAGCACGGCGTTTATTAACTGGCTTTCCTGAATTTTAAAACCACCCTCCTCCTTCAGAAACAAAACTATTGAAACATGATACAAGTTCTGACAGGAACTTGAATAAGCCATGTCCTCAGGGTCACAGAGGGAACGACCAGCTGTCCTTTGGGGCGAGGACAATTAATGTGTCTTTTTAGCAAGCTCCATCGGTGGGACTTTTGTGGATCCCCAGCTGAGGAGGGCCAGCCAGACCAAGAAGGGGATTGATTTCTCCGATTATGGGAAGAAGAGGCAGCAACAACACAACAATCAGAGACAGCAGGAAGTCCTGGGTTCCAGCAGGGAGAAGGAGCGGAGCAGCCCTGGGGACTCTTAACTGGTGGAGAGGAGAAGAAGAAGACCCTCCTCGACTGTTGCTAGATGGAAATATTTCAGGTTCAAAACCAAGAAGGATACATGGTGAGTTTTCCAAGCTGAATTCTTTATTCATGCCTATCGATAAAATTTTTGCCAGATAAGCAGGGGGTTGGACTAGATGACCAACAAGGTCATCTTCAAAAAAGAAGAAAAAAAATGGATCCAGGTCAATCAACCACAGACCAATCAGCCTGACATCAATACTTGGGAAGCCCTGAAAAAGGCAATCAAGCAACAGATCTGCAAACACCTAGAAGGAAGCAAACTTATAACCACAAGCCAACATGGGTTTGTCCAAAACAGATCATGCCAGATAAATCTTATTGCATTTTTGATAAAGTAATTAAATTAGGGGATCAGCAAAATGCAGTGGACATAATTTACTTGGACCTCAGTAAGGAATTTGATAAATTAGACCACACCTTACTTCTTGGTAAAATAGAAAAAATGTGAACTAGACAGCATCAACACCAGGTGGATTCATAACTGGTTGACCAGCTGCACTCAACATATAGTCCTCTATAGAACTACATCTATGTAGAGAGAAGTGTGAGGTGGAGTACTTCAATATCTTGATAAATGATTTATATAAGGGAGTAGAAGGGGAATTCATCGTATTTGCAGATGACATCAAACTAGCAGGAATAGCCAACACCCTAGAACAGGGGTGTCCAACCTTGGCAACTTTAAGACTTGTGGACTTCAACTCCCAGAATTCCTCAGTTGAAGTCCACAAGTCTTAAAGTTGCCAAGGTTGGACACCCCTGCCCTAGAAGATAGGCTCAAGATCCAGAAGGATCTTGACAGATTTGAACACTGGACCATACCCAACAAAATGGAACTGTAGTCCTAGGCCGCATTAATAGAGAGAATCAAGATCACGTGAAGTCTTAGTGCCATTTTATAATGCCTTGGTAACACCAACCTTGAAATATTGCATCTAGTTTTGTTCACCACAATACGAAAAGATATTGAGGCTTTAGAAAGAATGCAAAGAAGAGCAGCAAAGATGATTAGGGGGCTGGAGGCTAAATCACGTAGAATGGGTGCAGGAATTGGGAAAGAAGGACTAGAGGTGTCATCATAACAGTGTCCCAATATTTGAGGGCTGCCTTTATGACGAGGGGTCCGTTTTCTAAAGCACCAGAAGGCAAGACAAGAAACAATGGATGGATACTAACCAAGGAACCATCCTAGAACTAAGACATTTCCTGACATTGCGTAGAATTAATCAATGAAACAGTTTGCCTCCAGAAGTTGTGGATGCTCCATCAATGGAGGGTTTTTAAAAAAATTTTTTATTGGTTTTTAAAACAAACATAAACAAACAAAACATAAAAACATCAAGCCATCTTCCATATACATACAGTGTGCCGGTTGGTTTACAAATTGTTTTGTGCTTCCATTTCATAGTCTTCAATTACAATTACATTGTATATATTCTCGTATTTTCAATCAAGTATTAAATAGATTAATATTATTAATCAATCATTTGACTATATTTTTATTCATTCATGTTTTACAAAATAATCATATTTTACTTAATTTGTTTTATGACAGTTCATATTATCATCTGAAATCTATCCTAGAATCATTTTGTAGATATAATAAGAAAAGAATGCATCTTTATATATTTATTATTTTCTAAGGATCTACATAATTCATGACTATATTTTATTGTCTAACCATTGATAGAATATACCAAATTTTATAAAATTGTTTATCATCTTGTTCTCTGATTTCAAATGTCAATCTACTCATTTCAGCACATTTCAATATTTTCTTAATGATTTCCTCCTGTGATGGTATTTTCTCATTTTTCCAATTTTTAGCAAATACAATCCTAGCTGCTGTTAATACATTTACAATCAGGTATTTCAGTTCTTTACTGTATATTTCAGGTAAAATTCCCAACAAAAATATCT